AGGGCTGATGGAAGAAGATACAGTGTACAACAGAGAAGATTCACTTCAAAGCTGTTTTTGATGTCTTCTTGTTAAACATGACATATTGATGAAACGCTCCATCCAAATATAAACTATATAGGGTTAGACATTTCACGATCGGCACACAGTAACTGATTAGCATTAGAATTATCTGCCTGTTATTGCTATTAGAAACATTTTGACAGTCGTGTTGTCTATAAATGAACGGCTGTCGCAGGCTCTGACAGGATTCTAGCAGTTCTTTCTCTGCTATTGTTGTTATCTCCAAAGCGATAGAGGCGAGAGAAAAGAGTGATATTAGAGGGAGAGGACAGTGATAGTGGAAGTTGATGGTAATGATAGTGTGGGCTGATAAAAATCAGACAGGAATTGTAAGAGAAATAGGCCACCAGCCGGGAGCGTTATGGTTTGATCCCTACTGTTGGTGCTTTAAAAGACAGCTACTGTGATCCCTTAAGACATTCTCATTTCCAGTTTGCCTCTGGGATCATAGTCGTAGCATTAACCTTCACTTTGAACCTCCTGTGAGACATACATGACAATAATTTCATTGTACCAGGGCCTCACTCTTCTGGAGGGGAGAGGAGTGATGCAAGAGGAGGGAAGAGTGTTGCATTTTCTAGGCAGAATGGTGGCGCTGGCTGAGGGCTGAACAGGCAGCCTGCACGGTATTTATGGGTGCTGGAGCAAGAAGCAGCCTGGCTCAGAGCCTCGCACACATCACTGCAGACATTCATCAACAGCCGCGAGAACGTCGCACCCATCCTTCAGCTGACAGCCTTCAGCAATGCTAGATCTCAGCATCTCGCTTTGCCTATTATTCTGCTATTCCCTTTTATTGCTTCTGCTTTTTCAGCCCATGGTCAATCTCCATTCAACTCTCTGTTTGCTTTAAACCTTCCTGCATGTTTTTTAAGGGTATGTTCTAATATATATCTAGTCCAAAGGGTGCTTCAAATGAAATAGCTATATAATCACTTCACCGGAAGCTGAACAGTTATTGCACACAAGCTGACTAACTTGAATGTGATCAAAGGCAGTATGCAAATTATGAAAAGGGCCTTCAAATATGTATTATTTGTTTTCTTTTCTTACACAAATGTGACCCTGGACCACAAAACCAGTCTTAAGTCGCTTGGGTATATTTTTAGCAATAACCAAAAAAAACATTGTATGGGTCAAAATTATCGATTTGTCTTTTATGCCAAAAATCATTAGGATATTAAGTAAAGATCATGCTCTATGAAGATATTTTGTAAATTTCCTACCGTAAACATATCAAAACTTAATTTTTGATTAGTAATATGCATTGCTAAGAACTTCATTTGGACAACTTTAAAGGCTCAGTATTTAGAATTTTTTGCACCCTCAGATTCCAGATATTCAAATAGTTGTATCTCGGCCAAATATTATCATATCCTAACAAACCATACATCAATGGAAAGCTTATTTATTCAGCTTTCAGTTGATGTATAAATCTCAATTTCAAAAAATTGACCCTTATGACTAGTTTTGTGGTGCAGGGTCACAAATGTATATGTTTCATCAGAGGTTTTGACAACCTTATAGTTAACTTTAACTAAACTAAACTTGGTAACAGTAGTTGTTTATTGGCAAGCCTATTAGTAACATATTGGCTGTTTATTAGCACTTATTAAGCACAAATTCTGCATGAACATATTCTGCATCCCTAAATCTACCCAATACCTAAACTTAAAAACTACCTTACTAATAATTAATAAGCAGCAAAGTAGTACTTTATTGAGGCAAAAGTCGTAGTTAATGGTTTGTTAATAGCGAGAACTGGACCTTAAAATAAAATGTGACCCTAAACTTTCGTTAAACAAAAGTCAGGGCCCTTTCACACCAAGAACGTCAACTATAACGGTAACGAAGTGTTATGTCATCTGTCACTATAAATGCTAGAGCTCTTAAACTATATGAATTCTGATTAGCAAATTTTTTTGTTTTATCGTTTTGTTAACTCTATCAGTTTACATTTTTTTTGCCTCTTCTGATGTCACTGATTATCACTTTATTATATCACAAAACATCTTTAAGATACTCAACGGTTAGAAAATTAGCTAGCTAAAGTCTTCTGTTTTCCAAAATTCCGCTGTTTCCGCTTGAGAAAACTTTCTTAGTATTAGTCTTTCCACGCTGTATTGACTGTCTCGTGGGATTTTTATTTAGTTAGCAGCTTATTTAATGGCTCACAGAAATACAAGATGTGATTCATCAGTTGTAAATGATCCCTTTGAGGCTTGTTGGCTGAAGTATTGTCTTGAGTTGCCAGTCCTCCTCTATAGAGCTGCAGCCCAAAACCGTAAGATTTATGTGTTTGTATTCTAGTCCATAGTTCGGCTGCAATGCACTTTATTTCAAAGAGGTGTTTTAAAGACTCACATAAAAGAGGTTTGCATGTCTGTCTGTGGTCATTAGTTACTGAACAGAACAGCAGCCCAAAGCCATTTTAGGTAAACCAAAAAAGGAGTCATGCTGGGACGTCACATAACCCACTTCCTGAAACAAGGCTGCTTTTCAGTTCATTTGTTGGAAAAAAAAACACTGCATAAGCTTAGAAAAGCCATCAGTCAAACAAGGAAAGGTGTGAAACTGACAGAGAGTGTAGACAGCTAGTGTTGATACAGTATGTGCTTTAGTTGTTGATGCTATTTTCGAACATGCTATTATAGGACCCTTACATTTTGAGAGATAATTGTTATTTTCGGCTTGCGATTCCGTATATAGTGCCATAGCAATTACGTATTACATAAATGCCATTTGAAAAGGGCAAATAATAAAAATTGTAGCCACAGAAAGAATGTCTGTGCTCAGCTAAGGGGCCTTTCACACCAAAACTGGCACTGCATCCGCATGATAGAATGTACACATCGCCATTAGTCTCGACAGTAGCACATTCTATTTCAGCCTCATGTTAACACGTCGGATCATCCGCTTTTTATACTTGGGATTTGCAGACAGTTCTGAAGCATGTTGTGTAAGTATAGGATACTGTCCACCTACGTGACTGCCCAGAATTTCAAGTGTACCTCATAAGGCCGATTCTGTCATGCCAGAGGTTGAGAAAAATGTTTGAATTAATGTCAGTGTTTTATTAATGATATTCAAAGCCAGACTGTGGTAATGCAAGAGAGAGCAATACTGAAATTTAAACACTGGTACTTCACTCAACATAAATTTTCATATGGAAAAAACTGTGTGTGTGTGTCTCAGTTTCTGGTTTGTCTACCAGGGCTCGATGTGGCTGTGGCTTTCAGGTCACCAAGGCATTGGATCAAGAGCCTTTGATTAGGACTGTATTCTGGACTCAGCAACTGGAAATACAGGCCGCTGTCATTCTGCAGACTACTAAAGCAGACACTTAATAAGTTATTCTGTATCCAGCAGGCTTAAGTCACTGTTATTCTTGGCTCAGACAGAATGAGGTGTACCGTAGACCTTCTATGAACTTCCATCGTCTTTAATCAGTTTTCTTTTTTAAAAAAGAAAAGATTTCAGAAACAAATGGAGTGAGAAATTATGTATCCGAAGTAGGTACATGAAAAAAGTATCTATCTATCTATCTATCTATCTGTCTGTCTGTCTGTCTGTCTGCCTGCCTGCCTGCCTGTCTATCTGTCTATCTATCTATCTATCTATCTATCTATCTATCTATCTATCTGTGTGTGTGTCTCATTTTATTTATTCTGAGTTTCAGCTTCAAAGAGGTGAGAAGAGACGTAAATGTGTTTTACATATTAAACTCCAATAAAATTCATAGTGGAGTGCAAGAAAAACATACCTTGTATCACGTCAACAAGATGTTGATTGGGTCTAATAAAATGTGTGTATTTTCAGTTTCCTCTGCTGTGGGTGTGAGCATGGGGTGAGAGCCACATGTAAAGCTGTCATTCCGAGTGTGAAGTTTGCACTGGCTACGGAGAGTTTTATCTATCTATCTATCTATCTATCTATCTATCTGTGTGTGTGTCTCATTTTATTTATTCTGAGTTTCAGCTTCAAAGAGGTGAGAAGAGACGTAAATGTGTTTTACATATTAAACTCCAATAAAATTCATAGTGGAGTGCAAGAAAAACATACCTTGTATCACGTCAACAAGATGTTGATTGGGTCTAATAAAATGTGTGTATTTTCAGTTTCCTCTGCTGTGGGTGTGAGCATGGGGTGAGAGCCACATGTAAAGCTGTCATTCCGAGTGTGAAGTTTGCACTGGCTACGGAGAGTTTGGCAACACATGCAGTAAACACTAATTATAACATGCTTTCTGACAACTATAAACCTAGTTTAAACAAGCAGCAGTTTCTCTTGGCTCCTCTCTGCCCTGCCATTCCACTGCACCAGTTCCGCTTATCTTCTTCGGTTGTTTTTCAGTCATTATTTACACTTGATAGAGTGGAACAACCATAACAACTGCCTTAATTGTGCTTCTCTGGGGCATGGATGTAAAGTCCTCCCTCACCTGACATCTAGTGACCTGAGAAGTTCTGTTTTACACCATTATAGAACTAGGAGGGTTAGAGTGCAGCCACAAATCCACGCTCATTAAAAGGCCATGAGAAGAAAGATCATGTTCATTAGAGTCATTCTGTGTGGATCGGAGAACATTTTACTCATGCAGCTTTGAGGCAGAGCAGTGGGGTCATCTTTCATGGCTGGGGTCCAGCTCTCTGATGTGGAGGCCTTCATGCTTCAGCACTGACCCCTGACATGGAAGCACAATGGCTACTGTGTTCATTTGCCAGTGGGCAACAGCAGCCCAGTGGCCTGGCTTTGACCATCTCTCATACTGAACAATGAAGAACGGGCAGCGCACCAGATTCGTGACATTTATTGATTCTTGACTGAGTGAAAGAGCTCTTTACTTCCTTTCCGTCTCTGCAGCTGACTCCTCTGTCTTTCTCCATTCTCTTTCCCACCGGCCCCTCTGGGATTTAATTGAATCCTGATGGTGGCTTTGCTCCTCTCTGTGGCCTGGCCAATTTTGATATATATTCCCCTCCCCTTGTTGATGTTCCATCCAAGCTGTAGGCTGACTGCAGACGTAGAGCACAGACAGCTGTGACTAAAGAGGTGGGGCCAGAATAATTCAGTGAGCAGATCTGGGACAGCAGGGCAGTCCCAGAAAACAAACCAAGTCAATGGAAGTGTTGGCATACATTTGTATGGATGACAAATAAATCCATGCATTTTGAATACCACCACATACAGTAAATGCTACTCTGTGCAAGCATAGCAGGAAAAAAATTATTTTTCTCTATAGTGGTTACACTATATACATTTTCTGTCATCATTTCAAGTAAATTCAAGAGATGACCTTTTCAACAGAAATTGCTGCAGTGGTTGAAGTATATGTGGAACTGTGGTGTGGATTTCACCATGGAAAGCAGAATATTCCATAAATGAAAGACAAAAATCTGCCCGTCAGACATCTGTCTTTTTGACTTAACATCACTTTTGTTGCATCCACTCATGCTATTTCATAATTAAAATCAGTAAAGCGGTACATTCACCTCAAGAAATCCATTAAAATCTTCTCAAAAATTCACTTGATTCACTAACTAGCTAGCCTTTTGCAATTTAAATAAATTGCTTTTTCTTGTGTTATTCTCATTTGGATAAAAGCACCTAAACAAACAAATGTAATGCAAAATGTCCTATTAGTGTCATTCGGATGGGGGTCTCAGAACCAAAAGGCTCCAGGAATCTCATGTCCCCTGCTACAAATGTTGATTTTGGGTGAGGGGCTGACCTTGTGGCTCAGTTTACTGCTTTCATACTGAGAGAAAGCCTTTTCCAATGAGCTCAGCTTTTCTTTAAACATTCTGTTATTTCATTTGCTTGCCATATGGATTCAAGGGCAATCTGTGACCTGTTTTTGTAGTGCGATATATATTACAAACATTCTAAATGTATCTGATTTGGTTCAGAGGAACGCCTAGTGTGATTTGTATGGATGTTATTATATTACTGAAAGTCTGTCTTGGGGAATATTTTCTGAATATATAATGCAATATATCAAATCCTGATAAAATTTAGACTCTGACATATTGGCGCAGTGTATGCAAGCAAATCCAGAAGTGTGCATTGGACTCAATTCTTAAATGGCTATAAACATTGTGTCTGTGTTTTGACATATAGCAGGAAACCTAATGCATTTTTGGATGGGGTTCAAGAAAATTGGCATACCATTTGTTTACATAGTTATATATAAAAAAGAGCCAAAAAATATAGATCAATATATTGCATTACAGAAATGTTTATAGAGAAGGAGATGGTTTAGAAATGGCTCTCATCAGGAACAGACTGTGCAACATAGTCCATTTGGGAGGCAGACAGTGCAGTTTAACAAGCTGTGAAATATCTGGCATGCAACAAAAATTATATATGCCAATAATTAATGGCTAAAAATTGTGCTAGTCCCGTAACAAACCAAAAATGGTCCACAATGAAAAGAAAATGAATACAGTTCATATGCTTTTAATCCTTTTGCTGGAGTCGTAAAACATTACAGTTTTTTAGTTGTGTTTTCGCAAATTACACTCCAAAATGTGTCTTCCACCTCTATTATATTGAGTTTTCTTTTAGCTACAAAGCTGTCTTCTAAGTTGTGTCTAAATCTGACAACACTTATATCAAAAGCTTTGGACTGTAAAAGCTAATCTCTTTGCTGTGACCTGTTTTTGGGGTGCATCATTGTTCATCCGAGTGTTTCCGAAATAGACACACTGGATTCCTGCCCCAATCGTGCCTTAAGACAAATGAGTCCCTGTCTAGCTGTCTCTTTGGGTCATGACATTGCCACATTTACTTAGTCTACGTGTAGTGAAACTGTATAATGGAGAAGCTCTTACTTGGAGGTTAGTGTGGGCCTGGGGTGAGAAAATCGGCTGGTGGTGACTATGTGACAGTTGGAGAATGAAGAGGGCAGAGGTGGTGAGACATGAAGGATCTCTACTTTCATCAAGAACATGGACCATAGAATTTCAGGCATGACTGGGACCAAACCCTTCCATGCTCTTCTCTCATGAAAAATGTCTTCTCCAGTAACTGATGCCTGAAGCAGGCTAAGCTGAACTAAACAGGCCCATTAGCTTTAAATATACCTGCACACCTTGTCAGGTGCCTGTATACCGAATGCTCTTTATTATCTGTCGGGAGAGACGAGAAGAGACAGCCAGGGGGAACAGAGATAACCATGAGTGTGTGGTTGCATAAGTGTGTCTTGCTCATTAGTTGTGTGGTTTAATCTTCTGTGCTTCATTAAAACTTTACAGCTAAGCAGCTAAACTGAGCTTAGATCCTCATGGATTGAATTCATACTTTATGGAAAAAACGTCAAAGAATCTGCGGCAAGTGGTCAAAGATTTTGTGATGAATTACAGGCGAACCGTATAATACGGTTTCTACCTACATGCAGAATGATTGGTGAGTCATGGCAGTGACAGATTTAGCAGTTAACTAACCTCTGCACTGATATAGCTGTCTGTATGTAACTCTATATTTATCTCAATCTTTTCAATGGAATTCGTCGGTAGGTTCATCAGAACTGGAATTTATCGGTTGAATATGAAATTATATAGATCCAAGATAAAGATAACGATATGAGTTTAAAATGCAACTTATTTGTGCTACATAATAGTTACTGAGCATGGACATTTCAATGGACTATATAATGAATACATTTGAGATATACTGCCACAATTTAACATTGCATAAGCTTTACAAGAAATTTACATATTACCTGGCTTGCTCTTCAGCCATCTGTTTGAATAATTTTCAGAATGCTTCACATAATTTGGATGAACTGAGAAAATCTATTCAGATATGAATAGCTAAAAGTCTTCCATGAATTCTACAATGTATGTTTTAATATATGAATACATTACATTAATACATAATACATTAATAGTGATGCATTATGTGTTTAGATCCTTTACAATTATTTAATTTACTGAATTTCATATCTGATCATTCTAAAAATAAATAAACAAATAATGTGTCAAACATTTATTATAAATAATGGTAAACCTAGCATTTATGTCAGTAAATTAATGAATGTTCAATCAACGGAGGGTGGAGGCCTGAAGCCCTGACCTATACAATGGGCCCAGAAAACCTAGTGACGCCCCTGGTGCTCACCACAGTCAGAAAATTATACACTTGGTGTAATAACAATATTTCACACACATAAATTAACTAAATCATTTTTGTTTTTCTGGTGTTTCTATTAACAGGATCTACAACCAAGGGAATATAGGCACAATTAAGTTTATAAATTATAAGGCACAGTTAGCCTATTTCAAATCACACACACACACACATACACACACACACACACACACACACACACACACACTTAGCATTCACTATAGTTTTGTTACCTTGTTGAAGTCAGCAGGATATGGAAAGAGGGCCTTCCAGATGATAGCTTTTATTTGCCAGTCATTCTTGAGATATGGGACAAAACGGGTCCAACAAGGGTAACTGCTATTAGGTTTAAAAATAAAACTATTTTCAATTTTAAATGTCATGAGGGATTAATAATAGAATGTATTTAACACAATTATCACCTTCAATTAAATTTTCTCATTATTATACCAAATCTATGTTTCTTAATGTCCTCTCACTACATCTAAAACAGTGTGTCCACAGAGAAGGGTTCAATCATTCATATGCAATAAAATGGATAAAAATGTTTTTTTAATGATGAAAAAGAGCTTGTTTGATCAAAAGCAACACTTAATAATATCGCCTATCAAAGCAAGGTTGTTTTTTAATGACACATGCATGTTTAATAAGATTTTAAAGTTGCGTCCCCACTTTTTGTCAACACCGTCAGACATTCAATAAAATGTAATAAAATCAGGGAATATCAGGGGCAGCTGTCGCTCTAAAGGACCCCCTTGCCACAGTTCACCTCTGCAGAGTACATCAGTGTCAGACAGGCTCTGCTAAGTTTTATTGTTTTAGAATATTTTAAATCCTAATGTTAATATTTCCTGTGTCACAGCCATGATATGTCAACACCATCTTCCAATTTCTGAGGAAATTATTTGAAATATTTAGATAATTTTATTCTCCTGAAGCAGGTTCCATTAGCATCTAGCATCAACAGAAAAACTGTTTTGTCCCACTTCTCAAGAATGACTGCCTGATTGAATTTTGTATATATTTTCGTAAATATCTGATAGTCTAACGTCTATCAAGACAGTTCTTTATTAAAAATACTATCATAACGAGTAAAGTCATGTCCCAAAAATCTATCTATCTATCTATCTATCTATCTATCTATCTATCTATCTATCTATCGTGCTTTCGTTCTATCTCTCATTCTGTCATTCTATCTATCTATCTGGCTCTTAGGTAACCTGTTTCTGGTAAGCGTGTATAGTGTCGCCGTTTATATATTCCCGCCCGCCCAGCGTGTTTGTGAGGAGCTGTCCTGTCCGCGCGCGCTGTGGCTCTGCTCATTCTGCACTGGCTGCTGTCAGTACGCAGAGTCTGAAGGGCGAGGCGTAGCACTGTTACTCCACAAAACCGTGTGTTGATACGCTAGACATGAAACTATCGCTTTGGATATCGGACTGTCCTAAAAGCCCAGATGACAAGCCTTAACCCGGAGCGAAACGGTATGTGTTTGTTGATCTATCGAGTGTTTTACCGCTCATGAATACTTGCCCTGTACATTTAAGTAGAAGTTACGCGTGGTTGTCAAATAAAATGTCTTCGTGACTTAAAGGGAAGGGCTGAAGTTCAAAAAGTCACGGTCGGTTGTTTTTGAGACGATATCATACAGTGTTTTGAGTTTCAGACTTGTGGAGTGATTTACCACATCGCCTGTGTATTAAACTCACGCTCGCAGTAAACTGACTGACTGCTGTACACGCCTGCTTTTATTTGTACTCAACAGACACATTCAATTACGATTGTTTGTAGGTGCACTTTTGTACTATGTGATGTCTGTCACTTTCACTTGACTAATGTGTTAATAATTTACCAGAATGACAAATTTTTTAGCTTCCTTGTTACATTTCTTAGAGTTACAAAATCTAGAACTGTAAGATGAACGTACGTAGCATTCGTTTCCCCCCTCAAGCTACATAAATTGAATGCAAGTTATGAACAGTTTCATAGTTTGCTCTTACTGGAAGGGATAAGCATTTGTTTTTGCTTTCAGACTGTTCACCTAAATACTTAGTTTGGCTGAGGTGCTGTTAACTCATTCTTGAGCAGCAGGAATTGGCACAGCACTTATATCCTGTGCATCTTGGAAAGATCAGATCTCTGTCATGCTGTCTTTATAAATATCCCGGTGGGGTCTCTCTGCTGTGGGTGTAATTGGGCATCCCGCCTGCACTAAATGCATGCCTGTCCTGCTCGAGTGCAACCTTGAGCTGTGCTCTGTTCTTTGTCACTAGCCTGATAACTTGACAGATACTGAGACAGCTGGGCAGTCTCGGGATCGTTTCCTCTCTAATTAGCCCAAAATAGCTCTGGATCACCGCTATGCGCTCCCTTGCATTAATCACTTCCTAAGTGCCAGAATTGATCGTTCTGGGTCAATCGCAGCCTGTTGTCCTAACACAATATTTTTTCCTCCTTCACAAGACTTCGAGTTATTCAGTGGCACAATATGCAGAAAATACGCTTCCTAACTGGCGTCCCGAGAGTGAAGTCATTTGGCACCTGATTTGATTTCTCTCCATACATCCAGCCGCTCCGGGACTGCATGGGTCTGGTTGGCTGCCAACGAGCCACAGCGGAGTGCATTGGTGAGGTTTTGGTCAGCTGTGGTTTTCGGCTCTTCCCATTGTATCCCATCCCCACTGCTCGCTATTGACCAAAGCTCATTAAACTCCACATGAAGGCCAGAGCTGAACCACTGACCCCTACAATGACGCTTTTTTGGGCACCTCCTACAGTATATGTGTGTGGTCCTGCACAGAAGTCTGTCCTTAGTCCCACAAGGCTTGTATATAGACAAATATAATTTGAAGTGGCACATCATAGATAACAATTGATCACATGGGATTTGATTGTAAATATATACTGGTCAAAAGTTTTAAATAATTGAGTTTTTTTTAATGTTTTGAAAAGGTGCTCACCAAAGCTGCATTTATTTGATAAAAAATATGGTGAAGAATATTATTAGAGTTTAGAAGAACTGTTTTAACCTATTTAATATATTTTAAAATGTTATTTATTCCTGAGAATTTATTTATTTATTTATTTCAAACTGTTTTAGTAGAATATACTACAGGAAATTTAGTCTGTTTCAGAAACCATGACCATGTATGGTGACAAATGATGTTTAAATCATCGTTCAAAGGTTTTGAAATGGACCCAGTCAGTGATCTTTTGCAGTACATGCTGGGCAAGTATGCAGAATTGCACTTACTCGCGAAGGCTTGCACGTAGCAATTTTTGAGGCATGCAATTATCTTGCTTGCATAGTCAATCTGCTTCCTCTCATTTTTGTTTTTAGTAAAGCAATGCAAACCTCGTAATTCTTTAGAAACATTCACTGGGCCGTACAGTCTATTTCTGGGTTTTACTACTTGCGTTTATGCAAGGCAAGGCAAGGTTTTAAGTAGAGGGAGGTCAAGACTGCTAGATCTGTGAAGGTCTTTTTGGATGTAAACCGCTTTGGTCACAGAGTGCCTCGGACGTAAACTGTCACAGAAGGAGAGCTCTGCTATATGCTTGCATGCTGTAGGTATAAATGGTTGTCCCATCATGTAAGACAGGAAGTGACAGCTGGACCTAAGTGACTTTCATGGCCACACCTGGACAAGATCCTCAGGATGAGCAGACAGCACTGACCATCCCACGAACCCCTCAAACTTCCAGCAGGGCCATAGTCTGTTTGCTCTTACCACATAAGGAGAGTACCAAAAATTCAACAGGGGCGAAATATTTGGTGTTAATTGCATGTATGTTTTTGATGTTTTTTTCCCGATTTTTCAAACAATAGCAATATTTAGATAAGATAATATTTAGATGCATTGTTTGAGTTATTTTTCCATTGTTAACAGGTGACATTGCTCATATTGCTCATTCATTATTTTTTCCAACCACTATTATAAACCACTGCATACCCGCTCCATTATGAGCATGACATCTGTAATGACATGTTAGGATTACAACACCGCTTGTGTTTATAAACCAAAATGGCTTGGTAAGCACAGCATGTTTGTGTCAGTGAAAGACACCGTGTCAGGTTCGTCTCTTCTGTGAGCTTCTCTCAGCATAAACCCCTCATTGCATGTGCATTGTATGCTAATTAAATTGGATCACCTCTGGATGGTTTATGTCGATAATGGCCGCAATTTCAAGTGCAGCATTAAGAAAACCCTCAGGCAACTTGTCAAGTCTCCATCAAGACTCTTCATTTGCTCTCTTCACCTGTTTACTTCCATTCAGAGCGCTAGTATTTCCGTGCCACAGCCATTAGAGACTGTATTCAGAAAACAAGCGTTCCTCCAGGGGACAGCTTCCCAAGAAAGCTCCCGATTCTGAATATAGTTCAATTTAGATGCAAAAAAAGCTCTAGCTGTGTGAGGCCCTGCTCCTTTTGCTGTTATTTCCATACAGCACAGACAAAACACTGCTGTGTGTGCCCTGAATAAAACGAGCAGCTCACGACTCGAGTGTGTGCGCGGCATAGACTCGCTGCTATTGGAGATCTGAAGCTTGCAGAATAAGATGTGACAGCTTTCTGGTGATGCCTGGTGGAATTGTGGGGTTATGATCAAAATCTTTCGGAAACCATAACAACTGATCTTAGCAAGGCTCAAAC